ACCGACACGCAGGCAGAGGAGAGACATACGGGTCAGCTCGGCTCAGTCGACAAATCTCACAATAAAAGTAATCAGGAACTGCCGGATTTCCTTCCATAGGCTTCTCTGGAATTATAACACAACCAAAATGTTGCCATACTTGGCATCTTGGATCCTCGCACTGTCAATATAGCAATGACAGAAAGAAAAAAGCAAGTAATTATTTTGAATCAAGCAAACAGAAATCCCAGTTTGATAAGGCAGAGAATTTATCTTAGATAGTTGGACACCGAACATTCCAAAGACTGTTGTCATATCCAAATCACTTGACATAAAAAGCCCATTGTGGCAGGAAGATTAATAAGCTCATTATCATTACCCTGATAATGTTGTCAGTCTCCAATGAGCTTCCACAAGGACAACGAACTTTGATATCTGTTTGGAAGGAGTCATCCGCTTCTCCTTTAATTTTAACAGCACTGCTGTCTGACACACCCTGCTCCTTGGATGCCAATTCAGTGGCACCAGAAACCTGCATCTTCCTGAGGACAAGACATACACTTTAGTGAGAGAAAATAAAGAAATCAAAGCATATAATGATCAGATATACTGGATCCAGTTGGCCAGAATCGTCTTATCTAAATAGTAGGTCAATCCTTGTTCACAAAAGGAAAGGAAGAAAAATAACAAAGTCTGTTATAAATGCTTCCATCCAAATCTTCAATATATATGAATCATAAATGTAAACACAAACCTGTATGATTCAAAAAAATCATGAAAAGATCCCATTATAAAAGTTTCCATCTAAATCTTCAGTAGAAATATATCATAAATTTAAACACTTACCTATATATATCATCAACGAGTTTTGCGACATCTTCCTTCCCCACAGGAGTCCTCTTTGCCCACATCTTTGCAACTGGAAAGCATAAAGTATACCAAACATTATTACAAAAGCTAAAAGTAGTGGTTTTAGGAATAGGAAAATTCAACTGAATATCATACTCAACTGCAACCGTTCCCCAAAATGTTGCACTCATAAGGAAACAAAATTTACAGAGAACCATGGGAAATTCAACAGATTATAATGAAATGAGCAGATCAAAAGGTCAAATGTTACAATCTCATTGATACTGAGAAAGTAGAGCATAACAAGGCAGAAAACCAGTTCCATAATTACTTTCCTTGATCACATCCCACAGACTCCCCCAAAACAAACACACACAAAAAATCGAGTGATACAACGTCCTACCGAGAACTAAAGCCAAAAACAATGTACATTAATATTGACTGTGATTGAGTTAAAGACACAAGCATATCAACGGCTAAATCTAGCACTCTGACAACCTATATCACAGGATGGCAAAAGTAATACCAGAAAGAAATACTCAAAGATAATATAATCCATAAATGACTGTGGATGCTACAAGTTTCCCATTCAAGCAAAATGAAAGGCTATGGAAAGAATATTTACCTTGTTCATCAGAGAGAGCACTTAATATCCTCTCAACAAGGTCCTACAAGTGAGATTTACAGAACGGTCAAACATAATCCTACACCATTAAGGTGCAAATTATAATAAAAATGCAGATAATTGACATAAAAACAATAATCATAGCCCCCAAAATTTTTAAGGCTCTTGAGTTGCTAAATCCACCAGTAAATAGTTTAACAAATTTAGGTGCAACACACTGCAATTCCAATGACCTCACAAACGGACGGGTGAAATTCATGATTCACCTCTGCACACTCAAAAGGACATGCATGAACTAAAAATGATAAATTAAAAAAAACACCTACCCATTTTTCGGTAAAAAATACTGTGATCTTATCGAAAAACGTTAAAAGTTACAATAATTAGTAGCCACATACAGAGAAATTAAAAAAATAAACGAGAGGGAAAACACCACAAACAATGAACAGAGGGAAATAAGAACAAGATTCCACAGAGACATTTCAAACAAGAGAATTAAAATACAGTCTATAATCTAAACATTCCACTAACCTGCTTCTTCCCCTGCTTTGAAAGCCCCAATTGAGTGAGAACATCCTTAAGTTCTTTTATTCGAAAATATGCCAACTTATCCTACAATAGGAATATTACATAGAAAATTAGAAATTAGCTCCCCATGAACAATTTCTTTTCAGGAAAAACAAAAATGGTTCAATGTATTAGCATCAAGCATAACATACTAGGAACTAACTGAAAACCATATATATATATATATATGTATACTAACTTTCGGCTTTTGAGTTTGGTCTTATACTCCGACTAACAGAATAATACAATGATAAGTATAAAAAAGCCAAAAGTTAAGTGGCGGTATAAATAAAGTTCGAGAAGCCATTGTCCACAGCTAATACAAATTCTCCGTCTAAAATAACTGGAACAAACAAAACATCCATAATGAGTTCACTCACAAACTTAAAACTAATTGAGAAATAAAGCCACTTAAAGTCTAGCATACGTCTGAACAAGAGGAAATCTCCACTATCAAACTAAGTTCAGTAGTGGATACCCCTTCAATGATGGGTTAACTGGCATCCAACAATTACATTGCAAAAAAGAACTAGTTGATTGAATTTGATAAAGAACAAAAAATATAAAATATAAAAAGCTCAGTTCTCGTACAATATTCATTAGTTAACTCCTATACAATTACACACGAAATATCAAAAAATATATATAGATTCATTAGTTAACTCCAACATAATTACACACTAAATTATTTTATGAAAAAGAAAAAGAGGAAAATACCTTGCAACTAGCCACCAAATCCATATTCAGGTTACAATCTGTATCCAAGCAAAAACCAGTAATCAAAAACCTAAAACTCTAAAAAAAAAATACCATTCGATCTAATCAACAATAACCGAGAAAACCGCTAGAATTAAAATTAAATCATATTAAATTAATCAAACGACCAATCTTCGAAGAAAAGATAGAATCAAATTAAAGGACCTTACGAAAAATATGAGTAAAATAAAGGGGGGAAATCGCGATGCCTCGAAGAGGAGGTGGGGAAATAGGGTTCGAAGAGTGGAGGTCGCCGACTTTTTTTTGTTTTTTGACCAGAGAGGCCCAACCAGAAGGAACCAATTCCTCTCAGAAAAATTACAAAAGTGACCGGACTTATTGCCGATGATCAAATTCCGTTTTTTGAACGGGGAACACGTCCGGGTTAAGTTACGGTGAAGTTGCGTGTTCGTTTTATAAGATACGCACGCCCTTGTTTTTTATGGGTTAAACTACCTTTAGGTCATTAAATTGGACAACATTCTATTTTGATCATTAAACTAGAAATTTTATCAATTAAATCGCTAAAATTTTAATTTAATTTCAATTACATTACTTACTATTAATTTTGCGTAAGTCACCAACAGATTTGATGATGTGGATCGTTTTAACTGAAATAATAAGGATTTTTTAGATAAATAATAAGGAATTTTATCATCATTATTTACACATTTTTAATAGTATGATTATAATTTTAATTAAAATTAAATCACTCAAAAAGATGACAACACGCATCATCATCCTATTAGTGAAAATTAAAGAAAATATGGACTGATATGAAGAGAATCAAACTTGAGACTTTAAGAGAGATAACACTCAATCGCTGCGTTAAGTTAAATATATGTTCTATGATTAACGAAAAATATATTTAGGTTAAACTCTAATTCATACAAGATTGAAAAAATATATATATAAATTAAGTTCGGAAGAATCAAATAATTGACATATCATTGAAAATATATATATATATACGTCAAATTATATTATATTTGATATAATATTTTTGTATTTCCTTACTAAATTTAATGTTTATAATTATATATAATCATTAAACTAATCTTTTAATCTAAATAATATTTTTAAAAATTATATCTATATATAAGCATATTTATACACATGTGATTAAAGTATATTTTATTAAAAAATATGAATTAAAGTCAATCCATATTTTTTTATAAAATATTGTGTTAACTAGAGTTTAACTTGAATATATCTTTGTTAATTATAAAATAAATACTCATCATGATATATCGAATAAGTGTTGATCTTCTATACTTTTAAATCTATCTCATACTTTTTTAACCTTCATTAGATGATAATATGCGTCATTATCTTAATGTACGAATTATTTATAATTAAAATTATGATCAAATCGATATAATGTATTAGTAACAAAAACCAAATATATTTGAGCAATTTTGAGGTATGTATGTACATACGTTGACTCAAGCCACTGTTGCGATGTGATTCTGCCACATCAACACTTCTATATAGTGGAAAAAATAGAAGACGGACTTGATGACGTGTTCAGCCGTTGATTTTGCCGCCGATTTTCCACCGGAGGTGTTGAAATTTTAAACCAAACTTTATGAGGAAGAGAAGGAAATATTTAGGACTTGAATATTGGTCCTAAAGTTGACTTTTAACTTCTATTAAAGTTATTTGTTACTTAATCAATTGTATCCTATCTTCTCAATCGTTCGTGTTTCGGTTGGTCGAGAATTACAGTTCAAAAGGAAAAACAATGGTACCACTTGGATACGGAGGAAGCTCTCCATTTGTGTTTTTCACTCGAATGCCTCGAAGTCACCCGCGAACATGGATTCATAACGATTAATGAAGAGCCATGAGAGTACGTGAAATCCAAAAAGCCGGTGTCCCCTCGTCTCTTACAACTTACAAGGCTTGCTTATTCCCATCTTTGGTTTGATTATTGGAAGGTACAATCAGGGTTACAATACGGCGTGGATTTTGTTGCCTACCATTACCATCCGGCCCTCATGCATTCTGAGTACGCGGTGTTGGCACTGGCAAAAGGAGATAATGATCCAAATGGCCGATTGATAGTGTGATCTGATGTTTCATTGTACGGTTCGACTCTAGACATAATGATGTTCCATACCTAAGGGATGTACTGAATTAATCTGAGTTCATCAACCGGTGTGTTTTATAATCATGTTATATCGAGATAAGAATGTTGAACTTCTTTTAATATTGGTGATTTATTAAAGTGTTGATAATTAACATGTTGGTTAACTAGAAAAAGCAACATAACAGTAATCAAGAAGGTGATACCCTTAAAGTGCAAGGCAACAAATACTGAAACCTTCAACAATCATCATCTTACAACATCAGTTATGATGGCTGAAAATATAAGGAACCCAACAACCATAAAAATGAAACAGTTCCTGGAAAGACGTGAGTTTTTTTTTCAGACCTTTGGATTAAATAGCAGTAATATGATTAAGCCTTGGTGGATGCCCCTGCCTTGATAAGGTCTTCAAGTGCCTTCAAAATCTGTTGCTCGCTCAAACCTTCCAAGCGAATGCCCCTCTCGACACCCATATCTACATTGGAATCAAATAAGATCAGTGAAATCTGATGCCACAACGAGCACGGAAATTGACAAGAAAAACCTATCAAACATAATGAAAGAACCTCATGTTGAAATTGAAACTATGAATACTTTAAGTGTCATGCACACACCAAAAGCTAAAGGTGAAACCAGTAAGTTTCTTATGTCACGTTTGATACATAAGTGATAACATAAGGAAAAAGCTTAATTATTACATAAATTATTACATGAGTTTTAAAATAGTTTGTCTAATATAAAGAAGAATTAGTATAACTCGAAACTTGAAGTTAGAAAGATGAGTAAAAACTAATAACTATTCAAAATAAATAGTACATATCCCTTAACTTTGTTAAAATTAAACCATCGCGTCGTGAGTGGCTAAAAATTGCCTGGTAAGGGTAGTTTATTGTAACCGGTGTACTAAAACATGAGAAAAAATAAACACTCCAACCAAACATAGCATTAATGTTGCCAAGGTATTTACAGAGATGAAAGTGAAAATGAACAATATACATTTCAATTCCCAATATCAATGGAGTTACAATTATTGATATGGTTTATGGAATATTTGTTTCTATCTTATGTAAACGCACAGCACATGACTCGCCTCTAAAAATGCTCAAACTACATATCTTTATTTGACCTAGGAAATTTATTTACATGGAGATAAAACGTAGAGGAACTTGATTGGAAAATTCCTCAACAGTTTTTTGAACAAAAGAACACTCCTCTTCCTTCTCTAATGCTTTTCCTGAATTTCTACACCTATCTTCATGTAATGTTCACAACCAAATATGCAAATGCAATCAAATCCAAGACTGCCGTCCTTTCTTCTCTTAATTCACTCCTAAATCTTATCTCTTGTATTACTATTCACAAGCTTTATTGCTTCACGTTTCCTAATCTGTTTTTCCCTATAATTGGTCGGCCAAGTCGACCCAAAACTCACATGATCTAGAAGCTACCAAGAAATTACTACAATCTCAGACCCAATTTCCGTGCACAAGTTTGTGATCAAATCTATAGTCTACACGGAACTAAACTCAAAATCATTCTACCACAACTACAACCTAAAACTCCCTAAGGCAAATTTATCTCAAATTTGTCATACATTTGCCAAATCCCCACCAAAGGGTTTATTGTGTTTCAACAACAACTAAAAAGCACAACTTTTATCCATTCAAAGAGCTATTACATTAGGAAGTGCTCCCTTAAAATTTTATCTAATGTCATAGTTACGTATCCAAGATTCCTTAAGATTCTCATTTTTCGGTTTTTATTTATAGCAAAATTTGGAATGGAAAGTTGGAAACTACCTTTGACACAGAAAATATGTGTTAGCATCTTAAGTTACTGATTCTTAGAATAATCTGATCAGCATTGGATTGTAGATACACGACAGAACCAATTAACATCACCAGAAATGCAGCTAGGGTGAACAACGGGATCTTTCATTATAACATATTACAAATCTAAGTAGGTTCACCATTTTGAACCGTTAAAGACCGCTAACTATTTCTCAACAGCGCTCTTAAATTCTAAACCAAAATTAAAACAAGCAAATTTCAGGGGGGAGGAATTACCATATCTAGCCCACATTTGGGACTCAATCCCACTGCATTCACGGATGAGGATCGGGAGTTTAGGGTTTAAAGTCTTAAGATCCTTGTAATTATTCTCCACGAATGATCTAATACAAAATGGGAAAAAAAGAAAATTAATTAATTATATGAAATTTAAAAGTTCAGATTGAGGAAAGAGAATCGGAAATAAACCTGGCGGGGGCACTGGAAGGGGATTTTTGGCAAAACAAAATCCGTAGTTCTTTGAGATTTCGACATAATTGGCTTCTCAACGCCATTCGTCCTTCCTTGATGAGTAAATTTAACGTTTTAGGGTTTCCAAAGACATTTGTAAATTGTAAAAGTGGTGGAGCGATTGAAAGAGTAGGACTGGGGAAAGCAGAATGTGAATAAATAAGACTGTGTTCGGAATTGTAGAGCGACGAATTTGAATGAGTTAAATCCTATTGTTTAATTAAAATATGAATTGAATATTAAATAAAAATATATTTATTAAAATAAAACTAATATTTGTATCAATTGACTTGATTTATTTCGCGAAGGACGATGAATCGATGATTTCGGATCTCATTAGTCATGATCAGATTAATGTAAGATGAAAAATATTTAAGTTTATAATATAAAATTTCTTTAAATTTTTAAAGATAATTACTGTAATATCCTTCTTCTTATATATATATTTTCAGCCTTATTTTATAAATTAAAATGAGAACTTTTTATATTTAAATCAGATTGAGTGTATGTTTTCACCCTAAATCTCAAGTCAATTTTGAATCAAATGAAATTTTTCTAAAGTCAGATTTAATTGAATATTAAGTGAGAATAAAATATTTGAATCAAATTTAAATTGACAAAAAATCTAATTCAACCCATAACAGTATCATCCCTAATGCCTTTAGAATTTTATATACAATATGAATACATAAAAGAATAGAAAGCATTGAACATTACATCTGAATACCCAAAGCAAAACATCATGAACTGAAGCAAAAAAAAAAAAAGTAGCAATCTAACGCAGAAGAAAGAAAATAATACAAGGAACAAAAAACTTGGAACGTGGGCTAGGCCGGCTTACACTCTGTCGTAATCGTCTTTCGGTTGGGCTCTAGAATTGGGCTTCAACTTAGAAAAATGTGGATTGGAGTCGCCACCGATCATTTATTTAAAAATAAATGGGTTGATCGGATACTCCATTTCTTACCTGATCTGCATCTTACCAGAAATATGTCGAGCTCGGGAGTCGATTACGGTCAATGAATGATTAATACCCTTAAACCGCCCTTTCGATACTACGTAATTTTCAGTTGTCTTAATTAAGAAAAATAACAAGTTAAATTAAAAGGTAAAATTTCGATCCTAATTACTTACCCTTGATTGATTTGAAAATATCCTTTAAAAAAATCGAGAAATGTGTTAGATAAACAAGATAAAGAAAACAAATAAGATACAAGGAAAAATAAAAAATAAATAAATAAGTAGATAAGAAAAAAAAGTAAAATAATAATTATATATAGTAATATTTGAAAAGGAAAAATAAATATATATATATATATCAAAGTATTAATAAATAAATAAGCTATATATACACCAATACTTAAAAATAGAAAAGCTACCCTCCCAATTCATCGAAAGTGGGGGGCTTTAGTAAGAAATAACAAAAAAATGGACCCTCTAGGTTAGTAGTATATAATAATGTTTAATAATAATAATGATAAAGACACAATGTTTTTTCTTTTTAATATAATATAATAATAATGAATAAATAAAAACAAATAATAAAAATAATATAAATATATAAAGTTATAAGATATATTACATAAATAAAGAAATAATCAAATAAAATAATTAAGAATATATATTTAATAATAGGTATATAAATAAACTATTAAAATATAAAAATATATACGACTAGATAAAGATAATTACAATATATATAGTAATATTAGACTTATAAGTAAAATATTAAAGAAATATATATATATAATAAAATATAGTAAAAAAATAAATGAAATAATTATATATATATATACATATAATAATAACATGAATATAAAATAAATGAATAAATATCCATATAATAAATAAAGGGACTAATATAGATTTTTAAAAAGCTCTTCTCCTCCTTTAACCGAAAATCAAACCGATTTTTAAAAATAAACCTCGGGGTAGATCTAGGTTCGAAACTTCGAAACCCCACCCATTTTGGTCATCGAAGCAACCCACGTTTTGGGTTATTCGAACCAAATCTCAAGAAAAATAACGTGCACATGCAAAAGAAAAAAAAAGAAAATTCTACCTTTTATTTCCTTTTCAAATCCTTTACAATAGTTTTGCCTTTGTATCTTCCCGTGCTTTCCTCTATGTTTTGTGTGTAAATCTTGTGTTACAATGGTGAGTTACAATGGCTATTTATAGTGTTTGTGGATCCTATCTTTAGGAATTTAAATCTTAGTAGAACTCTATCCTATTTTTAGGAGTTTGAATCCTAGCAAAATTTTATCCTATTTTTAGGAGTTTGAATCCTAGTATGACGAAAATGTGTGTTGACAGCTGCCCCTCTTTGCCCATAGTCGTGTAACGGGGATAGGGCAAAGATTAAAAGACACACTTTTCGTTCAGTGGAGTTGAAAATTAACTCTGATGTTTCAATAACTCCCTGTCGAATTGAGTTACGGATGACTCCTCCATCGTGAAGTTGAGTTCATCTTGAAATGATATGAAATTGAAGTCGTAGTTCGGAATTTGAATCAGCACGTGGCTTCCCGTTACCCTTCGGTCTTCTTCTCGGTTTAAACACCTTGGATCGGAATCGAACTCAGAAATCTTCATTGACATATAGTTTTTTCTTGACTTAAGCTATGTTGTTTGAAAATGGTTGCTTGTCACTAAGGCACGGCTAACCCAGGCCATCTTCTCGACTTGAAAACCTCGACTGCAACCGGAAAGTAGTGCGATTGATGTGTCATCGAGCTGAATGGAGTCGAACTCGATAATTTTGATGGCATATAATCCTTCTTTGAGTTGGATATCCTTCGTCGTGAAGTTGAAATCCAAGTAAGTAGCATTGTTCTGAGTCCAATATCCTCCGTCGTGAAGTTGAAATTGGCTCTGGAACCGGGAAATTGTTTGTTGACAACCAGCCGTCCCTTCGTTGTGAAGTTGAACTTGTGTTGTCTCGAGTCCAATATCCTTCGCTGTGAAGTTGAAATTGACTCTGAATGAAATTTTATTGACAAGCAACGGTCCGTTCGTCGTAGAGTTGAACTTGCGTTGTCTGGAGTCCAATATCCTTCGTTGTGAAGTTGAAATTGGCTCTGAGATTAGGAAGTTGTTGTTGACAAGCAGCGGTCCCTTCGTCGTGAAGTTGAACTTGCATTGTCTGGAGTCCAATATCCTTCGTTGTGAAGTTGAAATTGGCTCTGAAATTGAGAAGTTGTTTGTTGACAACCAGCCGTCCCTTCGTTGTGAAGTTGAACTTGTGTTGTCTCGAGTGTCACGATATCCTCCGTCGTGGAGTTGAAATCGCGGATGTTTGGCTTCGAGCTAGACATCCTTCGTCGTGAAGTTGAAATCTATTCTCGAGCAAATTGTGTCGTTTCAAGAGAAACTGTCTCAAGGGAGACAAAATTTGTTTGAAGGAAAACATATTCAAAGATTTCGTTAAATTGTTTTCAAAGTTTATGTTTGGAGAGAAACTGTCTCAAGGGAGACAAAATTCGTTTCAAGGGAAACTATCTCAAGCGAGATAAAATTCATTTCAAGGGAAATTTTTCAATGTTTATGTTTCAAGAGAAACTGTCTCAAGAGAGACAAAATTTTCTGTTTCGAGGGAAACTATCTCAAGAGAGAGAAAAAAAAATCATTTAAAGGGAAATGTTTTCAATGTTTATGTTTCAAGAGAAACTGTCTAAAGGAAGACAAAATTTTCTGTTTCGAGGGAAACTATCTCAGGAGAGAAAAAATTAATTTCAAGGGAAATGTTTTCAAGAGAAACTGTCTCAAGGGAGACAAAATTTTCTGTTTCGAGGAAAACTATCTCAAGCAAGATAAAATCTTCTTAAAAAAACAACCTTGAGTGAAATGAAATGCCTTCTTTCGAGTGAAAACGATCTCAAGCGAGACAAATCTTGTTTTAAGAAAAACAATCTTGAGTGAAATAAATCTTCTTTCGAGAAAAACAATCTCAAGTGAGACAAAGTATGTTTAAAGAAAAACAAATTTGAGTGAGATAATCATCTGCATTAAATGAGACTGTCTTAAGTGAGACAAAGTTTATATTGGAAATGTTGAATCTGGAGATGAATGTCGATCTTTCAATCTGTCGAGTTGGCTTTTAATCTCATGTTCTCCTGAAAGATCTGTAAAATGCATATGGATGTAACTATCCTGATGATGTATGCTTGATGTATGCCCAAATGAAATTTATTTGATGTTGAATTTGCCCTCAAGGGAGGAAAAATCAAGGTTTTTATTGCTCATGATGATGAATTCAAAGATGCAAATTTCATGTAACATCCGCAATACCGGGTTAGTGACCAAATTGTAGAATTTCAGAATTTGGTGACTAAAGTATAAGAATGAAAGAATTTAATGATTATTTGAATTTATATTAAAGGTTATTTGGTAATTATTAAAGGAAATTAAGGGTAGTATGGTCTTTTCCTTTAAAAGATATTCTTCCCCCTTTTATAAGAGTGAAAAACGTGGGAAGAGAGCTATCTGGAAGCTTTCTTCTTCTTGCTTTCTCTTCTTCACGTGGGGCTAGCTACAAAAGGTAAGTTAATTTCAGTTGGTTAATTCTTAAGTTTTAAGCTTAGTTTTGATTCTTTGGGTATTAAATAAGCTTAAGGAAAGCTTAAATCATCTTAAAAACAAATGATGGAGGGGTTATGAGAGATTAAAGATTTGGAGTTTTTATATGAAACTTTGGAAAAGAATTGATAAGTAGAATTTGAAGTTAAATTTGACTTGTCAATGGTTAAATTAAGAGATTTGGAATGATAGAATTTGATTTTGAACATATAGAAAATTTGATATGATTTTTGAATTATATATGGAAGATAGGATTTTGAGGTTTTAGATGAAATAAATGAATATAGATTGGTTTAAGTATGTGTACTAGAGTTAAGAATGAAAAGGAGATGATATATGAAGTGTTTGAGTGAAAATGAAGGAATTTTCGGGTTGAAAATATGATTTCTGGGTAAGGGGAATCGGTACCCATTCAAGGGGAACCGATACCCCTTCAAACGACAGAATTCCAGAATGTCTGGAGGGAATCGATACCCCATAGGGGGGAACCGATTCCCCCTAAAGGAAAATTGGGAATATGGGTTTAATAAGTTCGTTTAAGTTGCTAGTATCCAATTACA